TTGTTGTTGTTGTTGTTGTTGTTGTTGTTGTTGTATTCGAAGGAGCATAAGTAGGATCGACATTGGATATCCTAAAGGGCCATGGATTCGAAGAGATGATACTAGACACATAACATTTCAGATAAGAAGATTTCAAAATTTTCAGACATATAGCCTATCTCCTGAGTTGCCTCTATTGAGGGAGGTACAACTTGTAAAAAATGAGAAGATTTTGAGTTATTTCTGGAAGATAAAGAGTCATTTGGATATTAAAATTGGTTCAACAATGTACCCCTGACAGAGGATCAAACATGTTGGATGAACTGCAATGTTGGAGATCACCTCAGGATTTTTGTGGGAATGAACATTCTATAGCGGGATTCAGTTCCTTTTCGAGAAGAAGAAGATGCATCTCCTGAGTGGTTACCCGACACAGTGGGGTTCAACATGCAAGAGATGCCTTTCCAGAGTTGAACCCTCCTGACGGTCTTTTCAAGTAATTTTCACCTATGTTGTTGAGTATGATTGAGTGCCTATTACTCTTGGGCATCATGATGTATATATCGCTAATATTGGCAATATAATAAGGGTTATTAGCCCATAATATCAGTATAAATTATATAATTTTTAAGTAAATTTAGTTTAATTCTCTCTCTAGTACATAGGCAACAAATTTGAAGCATTTGAGTGTTCAATTTAAAACTCTCAAGAGATCTTTATTCCATGTAATTACAATTATTAAGTCAATTATTACTCATTTATATCATACTTTTCATTTATATCATAGTTTGCTTGGTTTATTTCTTTTGTTTATGAACTTCTTGACAAGTCATGTTAATTTTTTTTTTTTTTTGAGTAAGAGAATCATGCTTTGCATTCACAAATGTTCTTTTAGTATTATTTATGTAATTTTTACTATATCATTTTGAAAAAATTAGGCAAATTTTATTGAACTCATTTTGCGCTAAGTTGTCCCTCTTTGATCCTTAATCTTTTTAAACATCAGGGTCAATATAGGAGCATTCACCATAACCATTTGGGATAGAATCTTAAGTTGTTGATCTTGGATCCCTAATCTTCTTAAACATCATGGTCTTGGAGTCCCTTGAATATAGGAGTATTCACCATAATCGTTTGGTCTAAAATCTTGAAGATCATCAGTGGGATGACCTTGGCCGGCTGTAGGTGCTCCAAGTGTGTCTATCCTAGATAGGTATTGCGCTTCTTGAGGACGTTTTGATTAGGAATATTGTTTTGGGTACCTTATTGATAATTAAGGATAGGTCTCTTGGCCCCTTCAGGATAGGTGGGCTATGTAGGATGACTTAAATTCTCAAATAATTTACTAAGAACTTGAATTAATCTAGTATCAGGTAGAAAATGTTCTTGCAAAACAAATTTACTAGTAGGTGTCTCATTAGCATTTATTTGTGGAAACAAATTTTTCATTATTGGTTTGGACATTTTAGCCTCTAACCTATTGATTCTTCGTCTAATTTCATTTTTTTAAAGATATCTTTTCGTCATTATTAATTAACATGTAGAAGGCTATGATACTGGAATTGATGTAGTGTGGGAAGAAAAATAGCTCCGCAAACACGGAGCGATTCACATGCACAACTTAAATCTATAGAGCATTGAATTTTATAACAAATAGTTTACAATTCATTCAATCATTAATTAATAATCCAACTACATCATGGATTCTTATTTATAGAAATAGGATTTACAAGGACAAAAACAAATTTTAAATGTAAACATAATCAGCTAAAGAAAAATGTTCAAATTTAAATTATGTTACTCCAAGAAGGCTATAATCCAACTACACATCATGGTTAACTCCAAGAAAAAGTGAGCATATTATGGGGGAGTGCTATTACATCAGAAGAAAGGTTAGTGTAGTAGTTTGTTCAGGAGCATTAAGGTTATCTGATCCATAAGGTAAATGTTGATTTTCCATGTTCTCTTGGGATGGCCAGATGGAATGCCAGTTATGCTCTCTTATACCCTACTGGATAAAGTGGGTGTAAGATATTGTAATAATTGAGGTGGCATTTTGTGAGTATTCAAAAAGTTGTGTTTTCTAGCTAGAGATATCCCTAATTTTGTGAAATGCCTCTGTAGGAACATCAATTGATTATATAACTATGCATACATGCAGCATTTGTAAAATTACTGATGCTATTTCTAGTTTTTTGTCACTATTAGTTATTACTAATTTTTTAAGGGGAAAATAACAAAAGAGATCAGTTTCTTGAAAGATTCAACGCATGAAGATCAAACATATTTAACTTATTTGGCAAAGGCCTGATGAAGAAAAAAAATATTGTCTTCGAGCACAAAATGTGCTTTTGCTGCTATAAACCAAAAAAAGGAAAAAAAGTGCTTTGTAGGTTGCTATATGGTGCTAAATGAAAGGGAAATCATACAACAAAATAGCGTCTTTTGTCCGGCTAAAGGTCATAGTAAATCTATATACTATATAAAAATGATTAGGGTTTGTCAACTTTTTTTCCCCATTACATAACACCGAACTTCATAAAAATGGCTAGTTGGCCTCCATATCTTCATTACTTATGGTGATCGAAGATTTAATTTTTAGAATAAAATTACAATATGGGCAAATCAATAGTTTATAATGAATTCTATGCATTTGTATTAATTTATAGAGTTAATAATAATAATAATAATAATAATAATAATAATAATAATAATAATAATAATAATAATAATTGTTATTATTATTACAAAAATTGTGCTTAATCTTATGGATTTGATTCCAAATATAAAGTTCACCTTTGAATATGCTTGCAAAAGCATGCAAGCAACTAGGCAACGAGATTAAAATTGTACTATCAAGAAGATATTGAGCGTGGACTCCTTATGAATTATTAGAACCTCGCATGTTTTGCAATTGTTTTCCAAAGCATGGGATTGCATCTAATTATTTGAATGCGGTTGTTTATTTGATTACTTCAAAATAACTATTCCTTTTTGCTCTAACAGCGAGACACTACTACTCTTCTTCTTGCCTCAAGTTCTGAATTTTCTGTACTCATGCCCTCAGGTATTGATTATCCCAAATAACCACTTCAGTTTCGTTTCAATACAACAACAACAACAAAGCCTTAATCCCATTACGTGGGGTCGGCTACATGAATCCTTTTTCTCCCTTGCGTCCTATTTAGTGTCATATTATCATCGTTTCCATACATTCACATTAAATCTCAACTTATTATTCTTTTTTGCTTCACAGCTCTTTAAGATTATTCCCTGTCCGAGGCATCGCCTTCCAAGGTATCTCATGAAAACCTCTTCTGCGAGCTTTAGCAATTAATTAATCTACTATTGCCTTTTCTGAACTCTCATTTTCTGCAGATTCGATCCTAAAACTGGACTGCTTACTGGAACTAATGATGGGACACTTGTTAACCTATTCCTCAGATTATTTGGAAAATGCTCAGAAAAATCACTGTGCATCAGGCTTCTAATTTTCCAGGTAATCCCACTTCATATAAATCCTGTACACTGGTTATGTAAATATTTGTAGTCAGTCGTGCTTTCTGGGCTTGAGAGTGCTTCCTGTTGATAAGAAATGACTTTGTCATAGTTGCTCTAGGAAATAAAAAATAGAAAATAAAGGGAAATTTACATACATACCACAAATCTATATATTTACTTATTTAACACCTAAAGTTTGATATTTACATTTATAACACTTTGATCTCATAAACCTATCCATCCATGAAATGTGTATTTCACTTTTAGAAAGTTAATAATAATGGTATTTTTTTTATTTGATATTAAAGATTTGAGTGTTATGTATGCAAATATGAAAGTTTAAGCTTTAGATATGTAAATGCATATGAGTTTTGGGGTATGCATTTAAATGACCAATAAATAAATAATTAATAATCATGCCTTTTCTTTAATTTTTTTTCTCTTTGGCCCTTTGCCACTCTTCTTCTGCAGAATAAGTACAAGGATGAAAAAACTATGGAAGATTTACTTGCATACCACTCAATTCATATGTATTTACATATGTACCACCAATACTTCATATATGCCACCTTACATATGCATGAAAAGGTTTATTTCACTATTTTAAAATTTAGAAAAGTGATATTTTTGACGTGACAAGAAGGATTTGGGTTTTATAAATGTAAAAATTAAAGTTTAGGTGTTGAGAATTAGCTGTTATGTATGTAAATGCCCCAAAAACTATGTTCGAAGTTGCATGTTTTAAATATGGCAACTTCCTAGATCCCATGTGAGGAGACTCGCAGGTGCCTTACTTT